GGCCAATTTACAATCTGTTTTAGCTATTTTTCTACTTTTTACACTTTCGGTCATAGTGTCATATTAACCCTGCAATCCATTCTACTGTGCCAGGATCAGTTGGTAGAGTCTTTAAATACTTTGGAGATTAGCCTATAGTAATAACAGATAGGAGGCTTTACAGATCTGGCCAGTCTGACCTATTCATCTGAGATTTCGTTGCTATGTATATAACAGTGTACCGGCACCCAAAACAGGCTTTCCTTGTATAACCTGACTAATACTTTCAGGGCCCTTTTGCAGTTAGTTACCAAACTAGAATGTAATGTGTGACATTTCAAAGCTTTTGAAAAAAATTTTGCCAACAAACACATTTTGCACACATAAAAAGAATGTCGTACAAAATTTCAAATATGTACTTTCATACGTGTTCTAGGTTTTTCTAAAATTCAATTTTGCATTTTTATTAAACTAGTGTAACCCATACTTGTACATTTTAAATATTTTGGGTGTAGAAAAAACAGGTTCTATAAAACTGCTGTTATTTTTAACAATTTCCGTTAACAAAACAAAAAAAAAATTTAACAAAACCAAACCTGGATAGAATAAGAAATTGTTTTTTTTGATAAATAATCATAATTTCAAGTTCTCAAAATTCTCTAAAAGATCTCTTGTTTTTTTTTTTTTAAATTTTTTTTCGCAGTTTAAATGTTTTTTTTTTTTATTTTACAACCATTAGCAATTATTGTCGTCATTCTCGCTATTTTACTTTTTCTCAACTCTTTTTTTTTATTATTTTTGCTATAATAGACAAACAAAAACAAAATATTTGAAATAAATAAAAATAAAACTGTTTATGCAAATATTATAAGGGAAAAAAGAAATGAAATTTAGAAAAATATAGCAAAAGGTTAATAAACGATAATGTTGTTTTAGCAGTCAATACTTTTATCAATTTTGTTTTGTAGTTGTTGCTTTATATTGTAACTATGTAGTATATTTTGTATATTTGTTTATTACTCTTTAAGTGTAGTAATATTGTTTGTAATTTTACTTTACTTTAAATTGCTTTTTTTGTTTGTTTTACTTTAAAAGAGACCAAGTTTTTAACAGCATGTTTTTCAATATTTTCTTTTTATTTTTATTTCGCTTAAAATGGGTCAAAGTATTTGTGTTTTTTTTCTTATATTTTTTTATTTGTATTATTCATAGCATTTTTTAAACAGTTTTGAAATCTTTGTTGTTATTGTATTTATACGTCTCGTATACATTCTCATTTTGAATCGACATCGTCTCTATCATTTCTAATCTATTACAGTGTTTTGTTTGCTTTTTTCCCCCCCATTTGTTCTCCTCTTTCATTTGCAAGTTATCAATATAAATCATACATTGATTTTTTAGTTTTTTTTCTGATTTGACAGAATTTTAGGAGAGTGTTTTCTATTTTTAAGAATTTATATTATAAATTAATATAAATTTATTGTAAATTATCTTAAATGTAAATATTTAAATATTGCACTTATTCCAAAGACAGTCCATAGCAGATAGCTTCATAGTATTGCTAAGGGATATAAGGGATTTTCTTTTTCCGTTTCCCTTTTTTTTATATAAAATTTATTTTTAATTTTAAACTTAATTATTAATTATATTTTATTTATTTAGCCAGCAACCATGCCATACATTTAAACTCATATTTTAGTCATCCATCATAGATATGAATACATATTGAGTTTATTACACTTTTTCCAATGACGTTATTTTATTTTTATTTTAAGACGAATGAAAAAAAATGACATTCATTCAATATTTTGTTTGTACTATATATTTTATCTTCTACATCAATTCTACACATTACAATAAATATAGTAGAAAACTGACTGGATATATTCATACATATAACTTTAACGAGTGTATTTTTTTGTTGCTTTTAGTTTTTACACACTTTATGAATGATTTTTTTATATGACGATGATGATGTGATATCATATATAATTTATTAAAATTTAAATAAAATAATGGGGTTTAATTAATATAGCAGATTTTCAAGTCTTTTTTTATATAGTTTTGTCTACTTTTTAATTTTTTTATAGCAGTACTACTACTGCATTCCTATGTGAAATATTTATTTGCAAAATATGATTCGGCATTTAAATGGAATCTTAATTAATAGAACGATTAACTTAATATGAAAAGAGGAGGGGTATAATAAAGGCTTTCTTCCATTTATGGTTTTTTGTTATGGTGTGTCTTAAAAGTTTTTGTTTTAATTTATTTTAATATGACATGAAATTGTGTTTTTGAGTCAATGTGAGGAAGGAAGTTTATTGTCAAAATCATTGAAATAAAACTGATTGATTTAAAGTTATAAAAAAAGCAAGACTAGATTACGCAGAAAAAGAAAATTGAGTACTTTTTGACAATAATAAAATAGGGCGGTCGGCAGTACGCCCAAAATAAAAAAGATAAAGATTAAAGAAAGAAAGTGGGTATGGAAGGGGAATCTAGACCTCTGTTACCTGAATAACCAAGATATTCCTCTGATGAAACCCAAAATGTCGTCTAAGTTACACCCTGCTACATGTACCAATTTATTGTTGAATCTTTTATCTACCCATTTCAGTCTCAGACTCTATTCTAGGAGAGTTGCATCAAATATACTAATATACAAATACTGTTTCCAGTTCCTCTTCGTCTTCACTCAACCTGCCGATCGAACCTATTACCCCTAAAGGCTCCAATTGTGCAGTAACCGGTTATTACCCCTACTAAAGACCTTATACTCTTCCTGTCCAATCCTAATAGTAGTCAGGTTGGTTTTGGATTTAACTTCGGCCATAGTGCCCTAGAAACCCCACAATCCAGCCTACTGTGTGGCAGGATCGTTTGTAGAGTTTTTCAATTTTTCGGAGATTTGTCTATAGTAATAACAAATGTTGGTTTTACCGAACCAACCCTACTATCAAGCTCTGGGTCCCAGCCCTGTCTAGCCAATTCATCTGCGATCTCGTTATCCTGTACATCACAGTGTCCCGGTATATTAATAGACAAATCAATGGACTAGTCATTATACTAGACAAATCAATGTACAAGACAATGGAGTAAATCTTATATAGTTAGTAGACTAGTGAATATACTTGACAATATAGTAGATAATAGACTAGTTGATATACTAGCCCATAGGTAGAATAGTCCAGTAACCTCTGTGTAGACTAGTCCATAGACAAATCAAAGGATGAGTTAAGAAACTAATCAATAGACAAGACCATAAAACATTCAATTGATTCTTTAGACTAGCCAATAAACTAATCTATAGACTAGTCAATAGACTAGTCTGTAAACAAGTAAATGGCATAATCTATAGACTAACCAATAAACAAATCTATGAACTAGTCAATAGACAAGTCAATAAGCAGTATAATAGTCCATAGAATAGTCAATAAAGTAGTGCAAATGCTAGTCAATAAACTAGTTTATATATAATCAAGTAAAGTAATCCATAAACCAATTTATACACCAGTCAATAGACAAGTCTACAAAAGAGGACAATAATTCAGTTATACTTGAATGTAAAGCCGCGGCTATACTTATGGAGTGCATTCTCTTAATATCACCCCAGTATGCCCCACCGACGGTATATAAATTTGAAAAGATCTATTAAAAACAACTTGTCCCACTAAATGGACATGTTGTTTAGCACATTGATCTACAGTTTTCTCTTTAATAAATAATTTGTATTTATCTTTAAACTTTAACTTAAAGTCTGTGTATATCAATAACGAGTGTAATCTTAAAATTAAAACTGTCGGAGAATTTCATTCAGAGATCGATAGTGGAATTATTTCACTTCCTTTATGCCCTTCAACTTCGTGAGAAGGTTATAGGTAGACGTTTTCATTCCGTTTTTAATTTCCACAATATATAAAATATATCAGACCAATTATGAACAATTATTCCCTGGGAGTTTGTTCCCTTTTACATGCTTTAGGTATAGGAGAGAGAACAAACTTCCAGAGAGTTTATTATTCAGAATAGCCCTGTATTTTGGATCCTTATAGATAGCGGAGTCGATTAAGCCATGTCCGACTCTCTATTAGCCTTTCTGTCTGTTGAAATCAAATATCTGAAGACCCCACATATCTTCGGGATCCAAATCTTCAATATTTCTGTCAGACATACTTTCGATAAGTTTCCTATTTAAAATCAGCAAAATCCGTCAATAAATAATTTAGATATAAATAAAGACAACCTCTGAAAATTTCAGACAACAGCAACATACAGTTGCTGTTGTTACTTATTGGAAAAGCATACGTGTGGATATACATACATATGTATGTTGGAGCTATTGCTTTGCGCATTTCGTTGGATTTTTTGTGTGTTTTTTTTCGTTTGGCTTAAGTTGTTCTTGTTATTTGTCTTGTTATTGCTAAAGTAATGGTTGAGTCGAAAAATATAAAATGAATAGTTTAAAGTTAATCACACTATGGTGAAGGGTATATAAAATTTGGCAAAGGCGAATATAGAATTCTTACTTGTTATTCTTCAGAAAGAGTAAAACGACAACCCTTCGGATATTTTTTAAAAGTAATTCCACTTTCGATTTATTTGCAAGTCTAAATGTTTGTTTTTAAAAATATTTTTCATTTTATTATATACACACATTCATATATATCTTTGCAAAATGTATTTGTATATAAAATTACTTAATGGTTTATGAAAATGTTTTTCATTATTTCAAGACTCTCTCCAATAATTTAAATGCAAGCAAAGACCTCATATTTAATTGAATTTGTTTTTGTTATTATTGTTTACAATTTGTAAGTGATAAATAACACACATAACTATGAAATGTGCAGAATAATACAAAATATTTTAAAAATGTTTTGTTACAAGGCAAGAAAATGTAAATGTGTGAAATTGTTTCCATAAAATAGATATATATTTTAGCACTTTATATTAAACAAATCTTTTTTAAGAAAATGTAGACAAAGTAATATAAATTTTATTTATTTTTTTAATTTTAGCTCAAGCTGTTGAGCCTACCAAACGCTCATTGCGTGTGCAAACTTGGAAGAAATTGCAAGAAAACAAATTTGGTGTGCCCTTCAATGCCATCTTCAATCGCATACCCGGTTTTGTGGACAATGACAAGGCCGCCGCATTATTGGCCGAAACTGAGGAATTTAAAAATGCCAGTAAGTTGTTGTTGTTGTTTTCTTTTAAAGTAATATTTATTTGAAATAATTATATGTAATTAATTAATATCTTTCTCACGTTAAATTTGTTTAGAGGAAATTAAGATTTTAATTGATCGCGCCTTATATGCTGCTAAATTGCAAACATTACTTGCTGGCAAGAATTTGTATTTGCCCGGTACATCCGATTCCAAGGCCTTGTACTTGAAGGTCGATGTACCAGCCGATGCTACAGAAGAACAAAAAACCGAAATTCTTAATGTTCGCAATGTTGAAAAACATCGTACGGAAATTTGTGAGTATGAATTTTACAATAAATTTTAAATCAAATTTGTTATTACCAAAAGAGGATTATTTATGAAAATTTTATTATTTACAATAATTTTTTTTCATGCAGCTTTGGAAAACAAAGTCGAATTGGACATGGTCATCATTGGTTCAGTTGTTGTTTCACGTGATGGTTATCGCATTGGTCGCGGCAACGGTTTCAATGACTTAGACATTGGTCTTCTTAAAGAGGTTGGCTCGATAACCGATAAAACCGTCATTGCCACAATGGTACATGACGCTCAGGTGGTTGATAATCTACCCATTAATCTATTCCAAAAATATGATTCACCCGTTGATATGATCATCACACCCACCGAGGTTATACGCGTAGCCAAACGTTTGCCCCGTCCTGCTGGCATTTTCTGGGAATTACTCTCAGAACGTCGCCTTAAAATCATACCCGTACTCCAAGTACTCAAAGAAACTCAGGAAAAGGCCGGTAAGGTCATTGTCCTCAAAGAGGAAGACACAGACGTTGAACAGCATCAACGCCGAAACAATCGTCGTCGTTTTATGCCACGTCGTCGTTTCGGTGGCAATCGTCGTTTCCAACGTCGTGCTGTCTCGCAAAATAATGCCGATCAACAACAGGATGGCGAAAATAATGGACAACAACAGAAACGTCAAACACACAGAAGACGTTTCGTTAACCGCAGAAGACGTCCAACTAAGGTGAGTGAAACTACATATTACAATAGTAGTAAAAATACTGAAAAGTCCGCGGCTATACTTATGGAGTTAGTTTTTTTCTATAACACTCCAGTATGCCCCTCCGACGGAATATTAATTTTAAAGGTCTATTAAAAAATAACTGTTTCAACTTGATGGACATGTTATTTAGCACATTGATCTACAGTTCTTTTTTAAATCATAAAATGTTCAATACTATTTTAAGAAGTAAATATTTTATTAATTCCGCGGCCATACTGATTGAGTGAATTTTTCTTAATATTTCTCCAGTATGCCCCACCGACGGAACAATAATTTAAAAGATCTATTAAAGCGTAACTGATTCTATGAGATGGACATGTTATTTTGCACATTGATCTACATTTTCACTAGAGTAAAAGCTTAAGTGTAGTTATATAAAATTTTATATTTGTATAAACATAAGATCATATCCGCGGCTATACTTATGGAGTGTATTTCTTTTATATCTCTCCAGTATGCCCCTCCGACGGAATATAAATTTGTAAAGATCTATAAAAAGTAACGGCTCCTACTAGATGGACATGTTATTTAGCACATTGATCTACAGTTTTTAAATCATCATAGAACATGTAAAGTATTCGCTATCGAAAATGTTTAAGTGAAGTTTATGTAATATTTCACATTTGTATAAACATAAGATCAAATCCGCGGCTATACTTATGGAATTGTTTATTTTAATAACATTCCAGTATGCCTCTCCGACGGAATATAAATATGAAAAGATCTATAAAAAGTAACGGCTCCTTTTAGATGGACATGTATTTAGCACAATGATCTACATTTTTATAATTCATCATAAAACTTGTAAAGTATTGACACTATAGAAAAAGTTTAAGTGATGTTCACTTCACATTTTTTTTGTAAACATTAGGTAAAATCCGCGGCTATACTTATGGAATGGTTTATTTTAATAACATTCCAGTATGCCCCTCCGACGGAATATAAATATGAAAGATCTATAAAAAAGTAACGGCTCCTCTTAGATGGACATGTTATTTAGCACATTGATCTACAGTTTTATATATAAGATATTATTCTACTAAACATAGGAAAAGAATTTCATTGCAAATGTATTAAGAAGCCGCGGCTATACTTATGGAGTGCATACTTTTCATATCTCTCCAGTATGCCCCTCCGACGGAATATAAATTTGAAAAGTTCTATAAAAAAGTAACGGCTCCTACTAGATGGACATGTTATTTAGCACATTGATCTACAGTTTTATAAATCATCAAAAAACTTGTAAAGTATGGACACTATAGAAAAAGTTTAAGTGAAGTTCATTTCATATTTTTGTAAACATTATGTAAAATCCGCGGCTATACTTATGGTATGGTTTATTTTAATAACATTCCAGTATGCCCCTCCGACGGAATATAAATATGAAAAGATCTATAAAAAAGTAACGGCTCCTTTTAGATGGACATGTTATTTAGCACATTGATCTACAGTTTTATATATAAAATATTATTCTACTAAACATAGGAAAGAATTTCATTGCAAATGTATTAAGAAGCCGCGGCTATACTTATGGAATGGTTTATTTTAATAACATTCCAGTATGTCCCACCGACGGAATATAATATGAGATCTATAAAAAGTAACGCCTCCTTTTAGATGGACATGTTATTATCACGTTGAGCTACAGTTTTATAAATAAAATTTGGTATATTTCAAGCAACCTTTAATAAGGAACTCAATTAGAAATACACATTGCATACATATAATGCAAAAAATTGCATACTTTTAGGCATATACGAAAATAAAATTTAATTTTAGTTAAAATGTTTTTATAATTACGATTATTTATAAAATCTTATTTACATTTTTAGTCCGAAGGCGATCAATCTGGTGTTGAATCAAAGAGTCAAGATCGTAAATCAGTTGGTGAAGGTGGCAACAGAAGACCAAAGTTACGCAAGAATCGTCCAATGCGTGATTCTCCGTGAAACTTTCCAACATTTCACGTGATGTACGCATTAAGGATTTGAAGAGCGAATTGCGTAATCGCCAATGTAATCCCATGGCCATTACATGGAAGGGTAAGAAATTATTAAAAAAAAGTAAAATTAATTCCAACTCCTAACAATTTTTATTTTCACAATTTTTAGGACAATACGGTCGCTGTTATTTGCATTTCGGCAATCGTAATGGTCAACCCAGCACTGAAGATGATATGAACAAAGTGCTACAGGCATTAAACGATCTCTCTTTGACTATCACACCCAGTGATAATAAGAATAATAAAACAGCTGCCACCAATGGTGAAGATGGTGGTGCTGCCGGTGATGCTGCTGGTGGCGAACAAAACAAGATGAACAAAAACTGAGGGCGCCACCAAACCACCCAAGGTAGTCAACTTGAAGGTAGAATTGATCAAATACAGTGACAAGGCAAACAACAATGCAGCAGCAGCTGCTGGAGCTGGTGGCGCCGTTAACGGCGGTGGAGATCCAGCTACTGGCGGTTGAAGCTAGCTCAGCACGTATTGAGTCTGTCGATACCACTACGGTATAGTGTGAGATGCGGGCTGTTTTAAAACGGCTGTACTTTTGGTTTGGATATTTGGAATCGTGCATTATAGCTCTGGATGATGATTCACTGATTGTTTAGCGTTGTGTTGGTACTCTGCTCCTCTCTCAGGTGTTTCATCATTCCTAATATGTATTTTTTTCTTTTGGTCTTCATCAAACTCAAATTTTCTTTCTCACATCACTTCTATATAAATATAGTTTAAATAGTATCGTATTTTGTTTATTCTATTTCCATAAAATCTCTCCAATATTTAGTTTTTTTTTTTTTTTAATTTATCGGTTTTTGGAGTTTTCTTAAATTTAATGAATTTTTAATTTCTTGGCAACTAGAAAACTGCGCTCGCTGCGCCGTTTGTTTTTGCTTTTTCTCAATGCATTTGTTATATAGATCTGATTTATTATTTAATACTCCTGGGCGGTAGTTTTAAGGGGTTTCCTTTAAGATTATCTGCTGGCATATTGTTAAATATTTTATGTAATTAAATAATGTAATTTTTTTCATTGTTTTTAATATTTATATATTAATTACTCAAATCACAAATACCACTTATGCGATCTCCAAATATCCATCACCATTTATAATCGTAATTTATTTGTTTAAAAAGAAATTATTTTCTTTTTGAAAATAGTGGAGGGAAAGATTAACTGGTTGATGCAATACGCTTTTCCGACAGCTGAGCTGTCGGCTAGGTGCGTATCTGTGTCAACTAAAGGTCTATCTTGTCTGTCCAACTCTTTATCAAGATGAAAATTATCTTTTTTATATATATATGAAATATATTTTCTCTTTAACATCAACAACAACAAAAAAATGTTTATATGAAGAATAAAAAAAAAACTACAAATGAACAAAACGTTAAAAAAAATATTGAAAAATCTTTATAAAAAAATCTACAAAAAATGAATACTGAACTAACAAATAAATAATCATGTTTAAAACAAAATAAAAAAAGGAAACATGTCTTGTATGTTACAACAACATTTAGCATTTTTTTTATTTAATTTCTTTATGATTTTTTTTTTCGCTATGCAATTTGTAATATTTTCTATTCTTTTTTTAATTTTCTTTAAACACAAATATTTTAAATGTTTTCGTTTTTCATTTTATTTACAACCAGAAAACGCAAGAAAATAAAAGAAAAAAGTATAACAAATAAAATACTAAATTTACTTTCCTTTTTTATACAATGAAATTAAAATTAATAATAATAAAAACAAATTGAAATAAAAACAGAAATAAAATCTTGTGAAATTTGAATTAAAAGCCTATAACAACAACAAGAACAAAACGAAATATATTGAAACATTTTTTGAAAATAATTAAAAGTGTTGGTACTTTTTTCATCTTTGAGGACTGGGAGATATTTGCTGGACTAACTCTACAGAGTTAACAATTTCCTCGAGATAGACTTCTTATAAAAATGTTTACAATTACTAGCTGTTTACCTTTTTTTAATAAAAAGAAACTATTTTAAATTTTAGCTTTAAAACATTAAGTTTTATTGAAATCTATAATTTAATTTGAATCATTAATTTCATTTTGATTTCTGGCTTAACTTAGATGTGGTTCTATACATTTATTAAAAAATAGTGTTTTATTTTATTTATTTGTAATTGCTACAGATTACAGTGACAAATCTTAACTTATTTATAAAATTTAATACATTTACAAATCTTATTTATTTATAATGCTGGTGTAATAAGTTAACAATTTTGATTTTTACAATTAATATATTAACACATTCTTAAACCCGTTATCAAGATTTCGATTAACTACTCTGGTCAGAAACAATTACGAAAAATTCTTTAAACAAAAATTTACAAAAATATTTAAAAAGTATTAATAATAAAAATTTTCATTTGTTTCTAAACCTAAGTTAAGTTTAGATGTTAGATTCTATGGCTGAGTTAACTAATGTTAATTAGTTTGTTAGAGGAATCTAATATATAATTTTAGCTTGGGCTTGTGCTGATGTTTTAGACGGACAAAAATATTGGTTATAAAGCTCTATCTGTCTCTAACTATACCAATCGACTCAGAATCAGATGTCAGTATATAGTCTAGTCCATAGTCTAGACTATAGACTAGACTATAGTCTAGTCTATAGTCTAGTCTATAGTCTAGTCTATAGTCTAGTCTATAGTCTAGTCTATAGTCTAGTCTATAGTCTAGTCTATAGTCTAGTCTATAGTCTAGTCTATAGTCTAGTCTATAGTCTAGTCTATAGTCTAGTCTATAGTCTAGTCTATAGTCTAGTCTATAGTCTAGTCTATAGTCTAGTCTATAGTCTAGTCTATAGTCTAGTCTATAGTCTAGTCTATAGTCTAGTCTAGTCTAGTCTAGTCTAGTCTTAGTCTAGTCTATAGTCTAGTCTATAGTCTAGTCTATAGTCTAGTCTATAGTTAGTCTATAGTCTAGTCTATAGTCTAGTCTATAGTCTAGTCTATAGTCTAGTCTATAGTCTAGTCTATAGTCTAGTCTGTAGTCTATTAGTCTAGTCTATAGTCTAGTCTATAGTCTAGTCTATAGTCTAGTCTATAGGCTAGTCTATAGTCTAGTCTGTAGTCTAGTCTATAGTCTAGTCTGTAGTCTAGTCTATAGTCTAGTCTATAGTCTAGTCTATAGTCTAGTCTATAGTCTAGTCTATAGTCTAGTCTATAGTCTAGTCTATAATCTATTCGATAATCTAGTCTATAGTCTAGTCTATAAGTAGTCTATAGTCGAGTCTATAATCTATTCTAGTCTATAGTCGAGTCTATAATCTATTCTAGTCTATAGTCTAGTCTATAGTCTAGTCAATAGTCTAGTCAATAGTCTAGTCAATAGTCTAGTCTATAGTCTAGTCTATAGTCTAGTCTATAGTCTAGTCTATAATCTGGTCTAGCCTATAGTCTAGTCTATAGTCTAGTCTATAGTCTAGTCTATAGTCTAGTCTATAGTCTAGTCTATAGTCTAGTCTATAGTCTAGTCTATGGTCTAGTCTATAGTCTAGTCTAGTCTAGTCTATTCTATAGTCTAGTCTATAGTTTAGTCTATAGTCTAGTCTATAGTCTAGTCTATAGTCTAGTCTATAGTCTAGTCTATAGTCTAGTCTATAGTCTATAGTCTAGTCTATAGTCTAGTCTATAGTCTAGTCTATAGTCTAGTCTATAGTCTAGTCTATAGTCCAGTCTATAGTCTAGTCTATAGTCTAGTCTATAATCTAGTCTATAGTCTAGTCTATAATCTAGTCTAGTCTATAGTCTAGTCTGTAGTCTAGTCTATAGTCTAGTCTATAGTCTAGTCTATAGTCTAGTCTATAGTCTAGTCTATAGTCTAGTCAATAGTCTAGTCAATAGTCTAGTCTATAGTCTAGTCTATAGTCTAGTCTATAGTCTAGTCTATAGTCTAGTCTATAGTCTAGTCTATAGTCTAGTCTATAGTCTAGTCTATAGTCTAGTTTATAGTCTAGTCTATAGTCTAGTCTATAGTCTAGTCTATAGTCTAGTCTATAGTCTAGTTTATAGTCCGGTAGTCTTGTCTATAGTCTAGTCCAGTGTCTAGTCTTTAGTCTATAGTCTGGTCTATAGTCTAGTCTATAGTCTAGTCTATAGTCTAGTCTATAGTCTAGTCTATAGTCTAGTCTATAGTCTAGTCTATAGTCTAGTCTATAGTCTAGTCTATAGTCCAGTCTATAATCCAATCTATAGCCAAATATTGATTTGTAGTGTAGTCTATAGTCTACGTATATCGTAGTTACGTTTTGTAAGTTGTTATTTTAGTGGCGGAGCGCCGAATCGAAATGCAGACTACCAATGTTGCCAATCGGTGTAAATTTCGATTCAAATGCTGAATAGGGGTGATAATTAATTTCCTTTTCTTCGAATTCTGTTATAAACATTGGGGAATTCGGAAATGTGAAGCTAATTTCTTATTTTTATTACATGTTAAAAAATAAAAATTCGTACATACACAAATATGTATGTCCGCCCCTACATAAATATTGCAAAAATTTTATTAAGTTATTATTTCTTCATTGATGAATTTGCTTAATAAATCGCATATTTATTTCAAAGTAATTGTTTAGCAACAATTTTTCTGTAACTTGATGTGAAATGCCAAAGCTCTGTACAATTTAAAAAAGTGTTGAGTTATTTAAAAATTTAATTTTATAAAATTCTTTGTTTATTTTCTAATCCCTTAAAAGTTTTATTTTTTTGAAATTTAAAAATTTGCAAATTGAAATTCAATTGATTTTTACAATGAATCACAGTTTATGAGTCTTAAATTAAAAAAAAAAAAAATAAAATAATATTAAAAAACCTTTAAAAAGGTTTATGATAGATGCTGGAAATATGTAAAATATGTATTTACAAATAGTTGTTTAAAAAAAACTATTATTTTTTGTAATTACTATTTTGATTTAGTTAATACAAGTCCTTTGCTTTGTGTGTTTAGTTTGATAATTTGAGATCTTTAACGGTTTTTTGTGAAACCTATTTCAATTAAAAAAAAAAAAAAAATACTTTAGTTTTGTTCCCCTTATAAGGCTCCACTTATTTGTTGCTGAGGCGAAGGTGTACGATCTATAAATTCCATACTTTCGGGAGTTTTGGTTTTTCTCGAACCGGGTCTTTGACATTTCGAGCACATTTGTAATGTTGAACTTAGCGTGGTCAATGTTTTTGCGGAACTAAAATTGGAATTTGATTTGGTGCTGCTATTCAAACTGGAATTTGTGGCCGTTTCACTGGTACCCTGTTCTGCTATGGATGAGGTTACTTTTAGGGTCTCGAGTAGAGGGGTCTCTAATATGGGCGCTAAACTACTGACCACCGAATTGGCCATGGCCTCTTCCAATTCCTTTTCCCATTCATTTTCTTTTTTCTCCATATCTTTGCGTTTGAGTTCTTTATAACGATTGTATACTATGAACTCTTTGACGAGTGTCGTCTCTGGATCACTATCCCGTTGGGCCGAACGCTGTTTAGCCAAACGTTTCTTCTTTTTGTGTAAAGGGCGGGTTTCGACAATCATTTCTTCTAGCTCCAGGCAGGGATCACAATTTAAATGATCTTCGGGTGGCTTAAAGGGTGGTTTCGTTTTCTTTTCGAGCACATCTTTGAAATCGATGTGACGCAGTAGCGGTGTTTGTTGTAATTCGTGTTGTGAACTAATGCGACCACCTGGATGTACGCAGAGTAACTAGAAGAAGAATTTTATAATATTTTAAAAGTGAAAAATATACATAAAAAATAATGAAACTTTAAAATCACCTTCGTTATTAAATCGACAAAATTATGACTCCAGTAGCGTGGATAATGTACTGGGGCACTTAATATATGCTTCACTTCCACCAAAGCTGTATTGGAATGTACCGAAAAAGGCCGGACATTGGCACGCATTTCATATGCCACCACACCCAATGACCACCAGTCAACCGGAAACGTATAACCAGCTATAATTAAATTGATAACAAATTAAATAAATGTTGAAATAAAAGTATATCGAGGAAACTATATCCATTACTCTCTATCTTCGAAATGGGTGAAAATGAATCTTGTTTGTTTAGGGCCTTATTCATAATAATCTATCAAAGGTTTATAGACCACATTTTGTATGAAAATTTGTAGAGATATCTACTATTTAAGTACCAAAAAGTTGAAATCATAGGGTCTAGGAACTAGTGATATCGGCATTATAAACCCATACAGTTGAACATACCTGTGCTTTCAAACTATGTACTTCTAAAGAGTTTTTAAGTGAAATAAATAGTTTTTGACTTTCTTGATAAATTATGTTTTGTAAGATAAAGAGTTTTGAAAATACTCCCTCGATATGAAAGCGTAGTACTGCAAATGTCAGTTCATTTTGGTGTTTATTGGAAAACAATAATTCACTTTTAAATTAAAAAGTTCAATTTTCTTCATGTCATCGCGTATATATGTATGTGTGGTTTTTATTTATTAATTTCCTTCAACACTTACCCACTTCATCCAGTGCACACATAAAGACCTCTGGTGCCATATACGGTTTTGTACCAGACATACTACAGGCGAGGCCATCCTTTACCAGTCTTGTTGCGATATTAAAGTCAGTCAAATGTGCATGACCTGTAATAATAAATTAAAATTTTTGTTAAGCTTTTAACTTTATGTTTGCTTTCAACTATTTGTTTATAGTTTAATGTTTTTTTATAGGGTATGATTTTGTATGTGGTATTTTAGTAACTAGTTTACTTGATTATGTCGAACTTTAAATGGTGTTGGTTTAACAAACTATTCAGAAAATGAGAAAAAAAGTTAAGAGTAAATTTTTTTTAGCAAAAACTTGATAAGGACTTGTACTTACTCAAGAATTTACTTTTCAATGACTTCTACATACCGCCTGTATTGCTTTGAAGTTATCTACCCATCAAAAACTTTTCAATGACTACTACATATCGTTCTGATTACTTACATAAAAAAACTTTAATAACTTCTTATTTATAATGTCTTATATAAATTCTTTCCAATTCATTAGTCAGCTACTGCGTGAAGATATAGAAGCTGTATACGGTTTTCATCCGATTTACATTACATTTATCAAAACTAATAGTGAACGCAATGGGCATATCGTCATAGGCTATTTTTTCTTCTCAAAACCCAAACTAATTACATAACACCTTATTTTCTGTCGTAGTTCTAATTTTCAATTCTAGTAAGTACTTATATAAGTAAGTACTTGTCTCCAATGTTATCATATACATATAATGGTTTCATTTGAACATTTTTCTGCCAATGTTGTAAGATCTGACAACCGTGTATACATAGTTTAAACAGTGGTGTTGTAAGTACGACAGCGAACTAATGAACAAGAGACCCAGGTTTATATTCTGTGATGACAACCTAAACAATTTTGACTCATTTGTAAGTTCTTATTTATTAACGACCATGCGAATGTCATCACCATGCTTAAATAATGAGTAAAAATGTCAGTGTATAAGTATACTTCATTATAGTGAGAAGTGGTTTCATTAGTTTTTGAACTCATTACTTTTCAATGTAGTTTTTGCCTGTTATATTCGAATATCACGCATCTTATACATAAATATGTATGTCCCATGGACCAGTTTTTTTTTTCAAGAAATACCTCTCAAACGATGAACATGAAAAAAATATATATATTTTTTTTTCCAAAGTCCTCAGTTCTTTACCAACGATTGAAAATCTTGATCTCAGTATCAGTATCAGTGTGTTTTTCGGAATATATGTTATTAGGGACTAAGAACAATTATAGACTGAACTCTTTAGAGCTCGAGATCTTAATACTTTGATTTTAAACGATTTATAGATAATACAGCGATATTCTCTAAGAGGAATTTTATACGGGACCAATCCTTAAAGGGATTTTGATTCGTAAAAAACTTGTTCGTCTCAAATCCTTATCACACTGCATATATGTATTTTTAAAGTTAGGTAGGTGAAAGTCATATTGTGAAGGGGATTTTATATGAGGATCTGGGGTCTAATGCAGACTGTTTTTACCCATTTTCAATAACAAACTGCATTAATTGAAAATATTTGTGCAAAATATCAATAAAACTCGCGTTTAAGCTCTATTGTGTTTTCAACATGGCTAGATTGTTTAGAAATCTAAAAAGAACTATCAATATTTCGATGTGTTTTTGGATGGTGGGTGTAAAAATTCAATAAAACTTTTAAAAAATCCAAAACTTTTTAAATCTAGAAAATAAACACTCTAACCACTTAATATTATTATTCCAACTTTACAAACAGCCACATCATCGCTTTATTAAACAAATGGGTTTTCTGTCTACATAGTTGGTATTTGCTGTTTAAACTTGTACGTATGATTAATTTGTATTGCCTGTACAATGTTAATCATACGTCATGTATGACTAAATACCAGATGCTTAGTGTATTGACATTATATAAATGAAAACATAATTTATATTTTAAGTTAACACCATCACTACTACTTATGTTTCCCTCTTCTTCCCCGTCTCCCTTCCCTCACTCCTTAGCAAGTTGCATTTTTTCTCGTTGCCACAGTTAAGATTAAGTTAAATATAAATGTCATGTTCTTAGTATGACATTTTATTACCACATTCTCAAACCGAATATCTTGTAATGGAACGAGTAAATATAATAGAAATTGAGTACTTCTTAAATTTATTTTTTGCATTTTATTGAATCAATGACATGATGCGTATCCTTATATGTATGTAAGTGTATGAATAAAAACAAACACTTAGGATAATACTAAAGAACACACATCCATACAAACTTACACTTTCATCTTTATATTCCTCTTTAAAAGTAACAACTTGAAAAAAAAAACAACCCACACACCAAACAGTTTTTTTTTAACACATTTATATGATTTTGATTTTTTTTTAAAAGATGGTAGTACGTTAATGCTTCAAGGTTATTGGGATGATTTTGGTTTCTTTTTAAAATAAATATAATGTAAATGTTTGAATGGTGTAAAATATATGGCTGTACTACTTAGCGCTGGATATATTGTATATACATTCATACATTTATTGGTATCGATTGTTATATATAAATGTAAGTAGGAATATATCAGTTTGTATAATAACATCAATATATGTCAGTTTTAATGCAATACAATCTTGATAATGATGCTTCATTTATTATTAATGTTTATATTTTTCTTTTACATTGATACTTTTAAATTTTATAGACATATTTCAAATTTCTTTGAATTTTGTTTTTTTGGAAGATTAGTAATATCGCTTTAATTTATGATACTTTTTTAAAGTATATAATAAATTTGCATTATATTTATTAGCATTTTAAAAGTTTTTTTTTTATATTTTTGTATCAAAGGAATAAGAATGATGTTCACTTTCGAAATTTCTTATGAGTGTTTACTGATCGCCTCAGAATCGCTTCGTTCACTCATGTAAACCTTGTATCAAAGTTTAAGTTAACATTTTTTTTTAAATAATTCGTTAAAAAATCGTACATGTGACTAGACTATAGACTACACTGTAGACTATAGACTAGACTTTAGACTACACTATGGACTAGACTAGACTATAGACTAGACTAGACTCTAGACTATAGACTAGACTAGACTAGACTAGACTATAGACTAGACTAGACTAGACTAGACTAGACTAGACTAGACTAGACTAGACTAGACTAGACTATAGACTATAGACTAGACTATAGTCTAGACTATAGACTAGACTAGAGTATAGACTAGACTATAGACTAGACTATAGACTAGACTATAGACTAGACTATAGACTAGACTATAGACTTGACTATAGACTAGACTATAGACTAGACTATAGACTAGACTATAGACTAGACTATAGACTAGACTATAGACTAGACTATAGACTAGACTATAGACTAGACTATAGACTAGACTATAGACTAGACTATAGACTAGACTATGGACTAGACTATAGACTAGACTATAGACTAGACTATAGACTAGACTATAGACTAGACTATAGACTAGACTATAGACTAGACTATAGACTAGACTATAGACTAGACTATAGACTAGACTATAGACTAGACTATAGACTAGACTATAGACTAGACTATAGACTAGACTATAGACTAGACTATAGACTAGACTATAGACTAGACTATAGACTAGACTATAGACTAGACTATAGACTAGACTATAGACTAGACTATAGACTAGACTATAGACTAGACTATAGACTAGACTATAGACTAGACTATAGACTAGACTATAGACTAGACTATAGACTAGACTATAGACTAGACTATAGACTAGACTAGACTAGACTAGACTAGACTATAGACTAGACTAGACTAGACTAGACGATAGACTATAGAACTAGACTATGACAGACTAGATAGACTAGACTATAGACTAGACTATAGACTAGACTATAGATAGACTATAGACTAGACTATAGACTAGACTATAGACTAGACTATAGACTAGACTATAGACTAGACTATAGGACTAGACTATAGGACTAGACTATAGACTAGACTATAGACTAGACTATAGACTAGACTATAGACTAGACTATAGACTAGACTATAGACTAGGCTATAGACTAGACTATAGACTAGGATATAGACTAGACTATAGACTAGACTATAGACTAGACTATAGACTAGACTATCGACTAGACTATAGACTAGACTATAGACTAGACTATAGACTAGACTATAGACTAGACTATAGACTAGACTATAGCACTAGACTATAGACTAGACTATAGACTAGGACTATAGACTAGGACTATAGACTAGACTATAGACTAGACTAGACTATAGACTAGACTATAGACTAGACTATAGACTAGACTATAGACTAGACTATAGACTAGACTATAGACTAGACTATCGACTAGACTATAGACTAGACTATAGACTAGACTATAGACTAGACTATAGACTAGACTATAGACTAGACTATAGACTAGACTATAGACTAGACTATAGACTAGACTATAGACTAGACTATAGACTAGACTATAGGACTAGACTATAGACTAGACTATAGACTAGACTATAGACTAGACTATAGACTAGACTATAGACTAGACTATAGACTAGACTATAGACTAGACTATAGACTAGACTATAGACTAGACTATAGACTAGCCTATAGACTAGGACTATAGACTAGACTATAGACTAGACTATAGACTAGACTATAGACTAGACTATAGACTAGACTATAGACTAGACTAGACTAGGACCTAGACTATAAGACTAGACTATAGACTAGACTATAGACTAGACTATAGACTAGACGATAGACTAGACTATAGACTAGACTATAGACTAGACTATAGACTAGACTATAGACTAGACTATAGACTACTAGACTATAGACCTATAGACTAGCTATAGACTAGACTATAGACTAGACTATAGACTAGACTATAGACTAGACTAATAGACTAGACTATAGACTAGACTATAGACTAGACTATAGACTAGACTATAGACTAGACTATAGACTAGACTATAGACTAGACTATAGACTAGACTATAGACTAGACTATAGACTAGACTATAGACTAGACTATAGACTAGACTATAGACTAGAGCTATAGACCTAGACTATAGACTAGACTATAGACTACTATAGACTACTATAGACTAGACTATAGACTAGACTATAGACTAGACTATAGACTAACTATAGACTAGACTATACGACTAGGACTATAGACTAGACTATAGACTAGACTATAGACTAGACTATAGGCCTAGACTATAGACTAGACTATAGACTAGACTATAGACCTAGACTATAGACTAGACTATAGACTAGACTATAGACTAGACTATAGACTAGACTATAGACTAGACTATAGACTAGACTATAGACTAGACTATAGACTAGACTATAGACTAGACTATAGACTAGACTATAGACTAGACTATAGACTAAACTATAGACTATAGCTAGACTATAGACTAGACTATAGACTAGACTATAGACTAGACTATAGACTAGACTATAGACTAGACTATAGACTAGACTATAGACTAGACTATAGACTAGACTATAGACTAGACTATAGACTAGACTATAGACTAGACTATAGACTAGACTATAGACTAGACTATAGACTAGACTATAGACTAGACTATAGACTAGACTATAGACTAGACTATAGACTAGACTATAGACTAGACTATAGACTAGACTATAGACTAGACTATAGACTAGACTATAGACTAGACTATAGACTAGACTATAGACTAGACTATAGACTAGACTATAGACTAGACTATAGACTAGACTATAGACTAGACTATAGACTAGACTATAGACTAGACTATAGACTAGACTATAGACTAGACTATAGACTAGACTATAGACTAGACTATAGACTTACGTTTATGATTATGGGAAAGTCGTTATTAGAGTACTTACAAGTAAAATATTTTTACTATGTGGTACAGTTTTAATGTACATATAAATACTTAGAATTTTGTTCGGTCTCGACTAAAGTGTGAGTACTTGTTATAGTAAAGTTATACTTTTCATATATGTGCATATGATAAACAATGTAGAAAACAATTTTATTTTTCCACAAGAATTAAGATTAAACACTTGAACACACGAGACAGTAAATAAAAAAACAACAGACAAAAATTCAGACAAACACACCTTGTGGGTTTCAGATCCTTTTTATTTCATTTTTACATTGTACCAACATACACAATGTCAAATATGTAAACAATGTATAACAGAATTGTTTTTGGTATTTCAGGTTTTTAAGCCAAACTTTAGCTAGGGAAAAAAGCTTTTTAATGCAAAAGAGGAGAAAAACGTTTTTATGTGGAAACTGCCTTTTGGTGACAATGAGTTTTAATAAACCGTAAGACAGAATAATAAGAAATAGTTTAGTTCATAAAGAATTTATATGAAATCTTTTTTTTACCCTTGTTAAAAAATTCTACTTTGGAACCACAATATTGTGGCATTTTATTTAAGGGCTAAACATTAAATATTAACTTCACTATGTTGCTTGCAAGGTAAAGAAACTAATATATAGAATAATTTTACAAAGTGCTTGTTTTTATTGTAGAGTTAAAATTTTGTAAAATATCTATGTTTAAGTTATAAACATATGAATGATTAATGAAAATTATTATTATTATTTTATAAACTAACAACTTACCAGCACCATCTAGTAGTATGTTATCTGGTTTGACGTCTCTAGACAGGAGAAAGGAAAAAATATTAGATAGCAAAGAATATTTTAATTAAAATTACGAAATTATAAATTTGTTGTTAGGAATACATCCATATATATGTAAGTATGTACCATGGTTTCAAAAAATTATGGCAAAAACTTTTTACAGACTAGACTAACAATTAAATTTACAATAAACAAGTAATATAATATAATATTTTGTCGGTCATGGCATATTGTAAGATATCCTACACTTGATATAGATAGATAGACAGATAGATATAGGTAGATAGATAGATAGATAGATAGATAGATAGATAGATAGATAGATAGATAGATAGATAGATAGATAGATAGATAGATAGATAGATAGATAGATAGATAGATAGATAGATAGATAGATAGATAGATAGATAGATAGATAGATAGGATAGATAGATAGATAGATAGATAGATAGATAGATAGATAGATAGATAGATAGATAGATAGATAGATAGATAGATAGATAGATAGATAGATAGATAGATAGATAGATAGATAGATAGATAGATAGATAGATAGATAGATAGATAGATAGATAGATAGATAGATAGATAGATAGATAGATAGATAGATAGATAGATAGATAGATAGATAGATAGATAGATAGATAGATAGATAGATAGATAGATAGATAGATAGATAGATAGATAGATAGATAGATAGATAGATAGATAGATAGATAGATAGATAGATAGATAGATAGATAGATAGATAGATAGATAGATAGATAGATAGATAGATAGATAGATAGATAGATAGATAGATAGATAGATAGATAGATCGATAGATAGATAGATAGATAGATCGATAGATAGATAGATAGATAGATAGATAGATAGATAGATAGATAGATAGATAGATAGATAGATAGATAGATAGATAGATAGATAGATAGATAGATAGATAGATAGATAGATAGATAGATAGATAGATAGATAATTAAAAACATAAAAAATACCAAATTTCTTAAAATACAATCCATAATTGACCTGATTTTCCTTTTTTCACAGAAATACCTATCCTGCCCTAAAGATTCCAACTAAGCCTATTTACAACTACACCAACTACTAAGAAAATTCTATGGTACTTGAAAACGAACTCACCTGTGAACAACACGTTGCGATTGTAAATAATCTAAAGCACTACCAAGTTCACAAACTAATAAGGCAACACTTTCTTCAGAAAACTCCACCTGAAAGAAAGAACAATAAAATAGTTAAAATATTTAAGTACATATTGTTGTAGTACAAGGAAGAATAATAAATTAAAGCAGCTAAAAGTAAGATTTATGGCGCCCTAAAGGAAACAGGAATACATATAAATAAGTGCCAGTTGAAAAAAAGGTAACAACAATGAACATTTTTTGTTTAAACAGAGATAAAGTATTTTAAGACTTAACATCCCATAAATGCAAAAAAATATTAAAAAAATCTATATAAAACCTTAATACACATACAAAGACATACGTGTTGTAAATAATAAAAATTCTGTAGCAGCAACATTAATACACAATGGGACGGTTAAAAAATTAATTACACTGTGTGTAAATTTATAAGTCATGGAAATATAACCATATATATACATATAAAAAAACAGACCTTTGTCTGCCAGTTTTGCCTAAAGGCTCATATCTTGCAAATGGATCGGAATTTTGATTTACTCTCTGAGGAAAAAATTTAGCTCTTGTCATAAAGAAAAAAATTGTGAACACATAAAATCAAAAAGACTTTATCTTCATTTCGATTGGAATGTAAAACTACATTGTAAAATTGCCCGACTCCTGTACGTATACGTGTTAATGATTTATTGGTATTATAAATATTCAGTATACGAACATTTTAAATATTTGTTGACACATAAAAAAATCTAATTTCTTAAAGCTTTTTTCGTATCATATAGAAATTTGCTGGGAAATGGGATTCAAAGTTTTTAGGTAAGATCATGGATGAAATGGAGATTGCTGGCTTTGTTTCTACACAACTCATATCTGAAATATAACTTATCTAATTCCATTGTGCAACATTAGTTAATACATGTTTTCATATTGTTGTAAAAGTTTAAATATGTTGGGAGTGAATTTATGCATGTGTGCGGGGGAAAAAACAAGCAATAAACACTTTGTTAAGAGAGTTTACGAGTTTATATTCATGTAAACTCGTTTCGGTATGTTCAGTAGGATGGACCTATTTACAACATGAAAAAGTTTTTAATTAATTTTCTTTTTCAAAATGATAACAATTTGTATATACACATGTTTAATATTTAGTTTAGTTTTAAGAAAAGTTTTTCATTACGTATCTGTAATTACTTTTATGGTGCGAATTAAATTTTTCACAATGTTCATTCTTCCCCTGTCGCTCCATGTAAAACTTTCTCCTTCAAATTGAAGATAAATTTATAAATTAAGCACTTATGTATGTATGTAACATATCATTCTAGACTGAAACACAGACCTGCTTTAAATTTATCATTAGAACATAATTTAACCTAAATATCTCACACGCGTCCTCTATAAATGAATAGTTAATAATAATACCTGAAATATATATTTGAGGTATATGTTAATACTTGTTCTTAACTCCCCTATAAGATCCCACATTAATTGTTTACAATTGTTACAAATGTATCGCTTTTCAAACATCATTTATATACTTATGTATAAGTATAAGAATATGAGATAAGTAGGAAGATTTATTTTGTTTTTATCCAGTTTACTTAAGGCTAATCAGAGTTCAAACATTTCTAATATAGGGGCCATTCTAATTTGTATGTGTAGTTTTTCTTTCCCTAATATAGACATCATTATTTTCTTGTTACCAAGTGTAAGTATGTATGTGCTTATTTTTATTTGTTATTTTCGCAGTAAATATATAAATTTATATATACAATTTCTGGATACTTACTCTGTTTTGCAGATGATATCTTAAATCACCGCCTGTCAGCAGGTCACAAACCATAAATAAATCCTCTTCATCTAGTATAGTTTAGGCATTGTAAAATATATAAAGAGAATAAAGTATTTTTTATATAAAAATGATAATATAAATGAAAAAGGAAAACAATCAATTAAATTGAAAATGTTACACATACAGGCAATTCTCTTCAGATTCACTCACGTATGTATATGTATGTTTGAATACGTTTAGATTCATAGAAATAGTATTACATAAATATATATATATTCATTATTTCCCGTCAAAACATGCTAGAAAGAGTCAGACTTTGGCTTTTGCAAAAGCCATTGGTCGAATTCAACCAATAGCTATGACTATACTAACTATAGATTATACTTTAGACTAGACTATAGACTAGACTATAGACTAGACTATAGACTAGACTATAGACTAGACTATAGACTAGACTATAGACTAGACTAGACTAGACTATAGACTAGACTATATAGACTATAGACTAGACTATAGACTAGACGATAGACTAGACTATAGACTAGACTATAGACTAGACTATAGACTAGACTATAGACTAGACTATAGACTAGACTATAGACTAGACTATAGACAGACTATAGACTATACTATAGACTAGACTATAGACTAGACTATAGACTAGACTATAGATAGACTATAGACTAGACTATTAGACTATTAAGACGAGACTATAGACTAACTAAGACTAACTATAGACTAGACTATAGACTAGACTATAGACTATACTAGACTATAGACTAGACTATAGACTAGACTATAGACTAGACTATAGACTAGACTATAGACTAGACTATAGACTACTAGACTAGACTATAGACTAGACTATAGACTAGACTATAGACTAGACTATAGACAGACTATAGACTAGACTATAGACTAGACTATAGACTAGACTATAGACTAGACTATAGACTAGACTATAGACTAGACTATAGACTAGACTATAGACTAGACTATAGACTAGACTATAGACTAGACCTATAGACTAGACTATAGACTAGACTATAGACTAGACTATAGACCTAGACTATAGACTAGACTTAGACTAGACTATAGACTAGACTATAGACTAGACTAGACTATAGACTAGACTATAGACTAGACTATAGACTAGACTATAGACTAGACTATAGACTAGACTATAGACTAGACTATAGACTAGACTATAGACTAGACTATAGACTAGACTATAGACTAGACTAGACTAGGACTAGACTAGACTATAGACTAGGACTATAGACTAGACTATAGACTAGACTATAGACTAGACTATAGACTAGACTATAGACTAGACTATAGACTAGACTATAGACTAGACTATAGACTAGACTATAGACTAGACTATAGACTAGACTATAGACTAGACTATAGACTAGACTATAGACTAGACTATAGACTAGACTATAGACTAGACTATAGACTAGACTATAGACTAGACTATAGACTAGACTATAGACTAGACTATAGACTAGACTATAGACTAGACTATAGACTAGACTATAGACTAGACTATAGACTAGACTATAGACTAGACTATAGACTAGACTATAGACTAGACTATAGACTAGACTATAGACTAGACTATAGACTAGACTAGACTATACTAGACTAGACTATAGACTAGACTATAGACTAGACTATAGACTAGACTATAGACTAGACTATAGACTAGACTATAGACTAGACTATAGACTAGACTATAGACTACTAGACTAGACTATAGACTAGACTATAGACTAGACTATAGACTAGACTATAGACTAGACTATAGACTAGACTATAGACTAGACTATAGACTAGACTATAGACTAGACTATAGACTAGACTATAGACTAGACTATAGACTAGACTATAGACTAGACTATAGACTAGACTATAGACTAGACTATAGACTAGACTATAGACTAGACTATAGACTAGACTATAGACTAGACTATAGACTAGACTATAGACTAGACTATAGACTAGACTATAGACTAGACTATAGACTAGACTATAGACTAGACTATAGACTAGACTATAGACTAGACTATAGACTAGACTATAGACTAGACTATAGACTAGACTATAGACTAGACTATAGACTAGACTTAGACTAGACTAGACTAGACTATAGACTAGACTATAGACTAGACTATAGACTAGACTATAGACTAGACTATAGACTAGACTATAGACTAGACTATAGACTAGACTATAGACTAGACTATAGACTAGACTATAGACTAGACTATAGACTAGACTATAGACTAGACTATAGACTAGACTATAGACTAGACTATAGACTAGACTATAGACTAGACTATAGACTAGACTATAGACTAGACTATAGACTAGACTATAGACTAGACTATAGACTAGACTATAGACTAGACTATAGACTAGACTATAGACTAGACTATAGACTAGACTATAGACTAGACTATAGACTAGACTATAGACTAGACTATAGACTAGACTATAGACTAGACTATAGACTAGACTATAGACTAGACTATAGACTAGACTATAGACTAGACTATATACTACACTATAGACTTGACTATAGACTGGACTATATACTAATATATAGACTAAACTATAGATTAAACTATAGATTAAAGTATAGACAAAACTATAGATTAAACTATAGACTAGACTATAAACTGGACTATAGACAAAACTTTAGACCTAAACTTTCATTTAGACGTAAATCCGTCCACCATTAGTTACACCTGCCCTTACAGTTATAACACCTGTTTCAGGCTTTTCGTCGACAAATTATTAAAATATTTTGGAATTAAAGTAAAAAAAACAAATCAAGTGCTTGATGATTAAAAATAATTAAATTTTTTTAATTCTCGCGTTTATGGTGTCATATGATCGGCCTTGCCTGACTATATATTCTTTCAAGTTGTTAGGTAAATATTTTCTGATAAAGTTAATTAACTTTCATGGAGTAGGATGTAATATTGTGAAAAGGTTTTTACCATAAGCCATATGAACTAATGGTCTGTCAAAAGTGACATCTAAAAAATGGAAGGTTAAAAAACGTCATAAATAAAAAATGCAAGTTTGTATACAGTTTTTTACGGTAAAAAGAGTTATATACTATGTACATCAAGTTTTTCTTTATTTAGTTAAAAACTTTTAATTTTAGATTTTGTTCAAAGATTTCTGAAAACTGAAATTCAGACCAAGGATATTTCCTAGTAATGTGATAAAAATAAAACTAAATACATTAAACTAATAAGTTTTAAAATCAAAATATATACGTATAGGAAAATCGCTTTAACATTTGTTAAAACTACGTAAAAAGTTTATGATTCTTTTGGCTTTCATTCAACAATTTCTTTTAAAATCTCTTTGATGTTTTGATTTTTACCTACAATTGCTTAATGGCAGAAAACTGATTCCTTTGAAATTTTTTCCAACTATCAGAAGTTTCAACTTCAAACCTATAAAACGTTTTGTAAAAAAATTGCAAGTCTTTCAATGGTGCTTATAAAAACTGGCATTGGTTAGTAACTCTACCATTGCAATGTGAAATACTTGATCCTTTAAGTCATCACATTTCCACGCTGCATGAAATGTTGCAATATATTTTTTTTATATTTTGTAGTAATTTCATTCTCCTTAGTTCAAAAATGTTTAATACAGTTGTTGATGGTTTATTGTAGAAATTTTGTATGGAAAATGTGCGTAATAAACCTAAAACAAACGATTAATATCCTTGTGAATACGGTGGTTAGTTACTTATCACAGACATTATTGTAGAAATGTGTATACACAAGTGATTTATCATCATTCTACAAGAAAATAGCTTATGGGATGATAATACTCATTAGCATGTCAATGATAAAATCCATGAACATTAACACTGATATCGACATTATGCTTCATTTAACATTTTAAAGCAGGATTACTAAGAATTGGTACTTATATGTTTCATAAAGGTGAATATGTTGAGTCTTAATTGTCTGCTTGTGTGAGAAGTGTTAACAAAAAGTGAAATTTGTAAATTTTCAATGACGACATAATTATATGAATATTTATATTGTACTGTTTCAGGTTCGAGTTCGAATCCTAGATAGGGAATTTGATGTAAAACCAATGTTGAAACATTTAATAATGCGCAATGTATAGGAAAATCTCTGGATCATATGAATATATAGAATACAGGATCAAGAATTAGTCATGTGATGTGTAAATGTTCCGGCTAAAGGTTAAAGGTCACTAAAGTAACGGAATATTAAATAAAGGAAACATAATTCCACATATCGACCATCTAAGTTTTATGAATTGAATTTTTCACTAATATTTATGCAAACTATGTTTATATGTTTATATTACTACTCAAACCAAATCAAGTCATGCAAATAGTAAATCATGGAATTGCCATTGTTAAGAATCGTTTCAAATTGCTTTGACTCTGTTCATATTTCTGAGCATGAGCTTTTTTTTAAATAACAACGATTTACAAAATCCTTGCATGATGTTTAAAAATAGAGAATATATACATATTTACCTTGAAATGAAAACCACAAATTCACTAGAAACGGATGTTCCAAGGAGGCTAGAAGCTCAACTTCTTTGATGACACCACCCAAAGCTCCACGACTTTCACAGG